CCTACCTCATTCACTTTTTTTAATTAATTTAGTTTGTTTATTTTTCATTTCAATGAACATCTACAGAGATTTTGGAATTCCATTCATTCATTGTTGCACCCTTCTCCCCGCACAACCCCCCCTCCCCCCGCATTTGCTCCTCTCCTTGAAAAGTTAGTTAATTAAAAAGGATTTTGTCTTGACTTTCAAAGAAACTGCTAAAATAACGGCCATCCTGACAAAAGAAACACATTAACCACAACAGGGTATTTGAAAAGATGGTTATTTAATTTATATTCATTTCATGTTACTATTAAGTTATGACAGATATGTTACAGGTTTATCACAAAATGTTACTGCCCAGTGCATTTTTCAAACAATAAATAATTCACTGAGAGTATTAACATTCACGTATGTAATTAGTGTTTACAAATGTACAAAACTTTGGGTAACAAACACTTAAAATTCATTTGCCAAACATTCAATAAGCCCATCCCCCCAAATGGTTTTATTTCCAATAAGCACAATGGGTTACGGTGCCTAAATCTAAGAAAGAAGAAAGGAAAATCAAACACGGACTTGAGACCTTCAGAATGTCCAAGCAATTCTGTGGATAGCAAAAGAGAAAATAAAATGACTTGCTCATGATATAAAAGAAAAGCTATTATCATAATCAAATATTAGTCAGGTGAAAGAACATTATACAGTACATAACATTTATTCTCTATAAATTTGCATATCTTAAATTGAATGCAAAATATTGCGTTTTAATTTAAGAGTATCACAACATGGAGTTCTTGGTGAGTTAAAATAACAATGGAATGAATATTTATATGTTTTTAAAGAGTGTATCAAGTTTGTATTTGGTCATTATTCTTTAAACTATTGAGTAATTCTCTTTCTTTATTGGACTATGCCAATTTTAGAAACAAAAGCTGCAAATCAGAGCACATAATGCAGATGTTTCTGAAAACAAAAACAAAAACAAACAAAAACAAAAAACATAAACAAAACAAAAAACAAAACAAAA